GAATTGCGGATGGATTAACTGGCTTGGGCCCCGCCAGCTGGAACAACTCGTGTGGTTGTTCCGACGACCGGACCACCTGCGTCGTGATTGCAAGCGGCGTGAGTAAAGTTTTTTTACAACCAATAAGTTGTGTCTGCCTCTCCATTCACCAGCCCACCCTGACGTACGAGCGTAACTCGAGTCGGCCCTGGCCGTCCGAGACAGGCACCTCATGACTCTTCTCGTCCAACTGAACAACAAGCCATTTGCTACCGTCATCAGTGCTTACGCCCCAAACCTCAATGCTGAGGAAGAAAAGAAAGAACAGTTTTATGCTGACCGTGATGAAATCCTGACTATCATCCCAAAAGAGGATACAATCCTACTCCTTGGCGATTTCAACGTGACAGCTGGCCGGGAATTTAACATGAGGAAGGGCACTACTGGGAAGGAAGGGCAAGACCAATTCCAGTGGCATCCTCTTATTCAGCAAATGTGCAGAGCATGACCGTGTCAATACTAACACTATCTACAGACAACATGACAGGTACAAAACAACATGGCAATACCCCTGCTCGAAATAATAGCACCTCCTCAACTATGTCATCATAAGAGCATGATCTAAAAGACATTCTTATCACGTGTGTTATGAGAGGAGCCAATGACTGCTAAAATGATCAACACTTAGTAAGAGCAATCATGTCCATTAGGGTTATGTTGAAACATTGAAAGCAAGCCAAATCAGTCTGATGACAGTACAACATCAAATGTCTTCAGACCTCTAGACACCACAAAGCCCTCCAAACATACCTTGGCAAGAAATTCACCAATCTTAGATTGAAAATGGTAACACTTGTGTTAAGGTAGTTTGGCCATCCACGAGACTTGCACAGAATCAACTGTCATGAGGTGATAAAGCCATCAGGACTGGTTTGATGAGAACGACAGTCAGAGCCCTTCTAAAATCAGAAGAGAAAAAGCTTTCTGTCACTGGCAAAACTATCCTATATCCAGTCAGAAGTACGGAACTTTTCGACAGCTTGAAAATGAAACCCAGAGGAAGAGTCAAAACATCCAAAACAAATGGTGGGCAGGGAAAGTGACAGAAATCCAACAATTTGTTGACAATCATGACATGAGGAGCTTCTTCAGTGCAAGCAAGGCTGTGCACGGACCAAGTTCTTGTGGACTCGCACTGCTTAGACCTGAAGATGGTAGTACACTGCTCAAAGACAACAAGTCCATCAAAAACCATTGGAAGGAGCCCTGCCAAAAGCTCCTGAACCAAGAATTGATGGTGACTGATGAAACCATCAAATCCTTCCTGCAGCATCCAGTAAGGGAAGCATTTGCCAGTCCATCTACCTCTGAAGAAGTCAACCACGTAGTAAGATAGATGAACAACAATAAAGCATTTGGCCCTGATGACATACTAGCTGAGGTCTACAAAGTAGGTGAGGAAACTACAACCAACAAGCTCCCAAAATCTAGAACACAGGAAATTTCTGCTGACCTAACAAATACCAATATTGTCACCATTTTTATAAAAGGAGGTAAATCTGACTGTGGAAATTATTGAGGTATTGCCCTCCTCTCTATCGCTGGGAAGATCCTCGCTCAAATTTTGCAGAACCAAATTTTGCAGAACGCTGAACCAATTGCTCCTCCTTGCTGAGGAAATCCTTCAAGTCTCAATGCAGCTTCAGACCATCAAGTGGCACCATGGACATGATTTTTGTGGGCCAACACATCCAGGAAAAGTGCCAAGAACAACACCAGGAACTGTATATGACCTTTACTGATTTAACCAAAGCCTTTGACTCTTAACCATGAGGCTCTATGGAAGATCTTACCAAAGTTTGACTCCCCAGGGAAATGTATCACATTCTAAGACTCCTTCATGATGAGATGACTGCCTCCAACCTATGCAGTGGCTCTGCTACAGAATCCTTTGCCATTCAAACTGGAATGAAGCAGGTCTGAGTAATCACACCAGTTCTGTTTTTTACCTTTCCTGTAGTCATCAAGATGCTCATCTGTGACCATCTGTCATGTGGCATCAGCACTGAGTACAGGATGGAAGGGAACCTTTTTGATTTCTCCTGCCTCCGTGCCAATACCAAAGTTACTTCAGACTCAATTGTGGAAATTCTGTACACCGATGATTGTGCTCTTGTTGCACATGTGAAGGACCACTTAAAAAATGCCCCTTAACTGCTTCTCAAGCATACCAGTGCCTGGGCCTGACTCTTATTATTGGAAAAACAAAGGTGCTTCACCAGCCTGCTCCAGGTCAATCAATTCCCCTGGCAAAGATCCTCATTAACAGACAGGAGCTGGAGAACGCTGAACACTTTCCATATCTCAGCAGCCATCACTCAAAGGCCAAGAGCGACAAGGAGATCTAGCATAGGATTTGATGTGCCAACTCCGCCTTTGCAAGACTGAATCATCATGTATTCAATGATCACAACATCAGGTCTCGAACTAAACTCCTACTGTAAAAGGCTGTGGTAATCCCAACTCTTTATGGCTGTGAAGCCTGGCTGGCTTACAGGGGCAGCATGAAAAGCCTGGAACACCATCACCTGTGCTAACTCCAGAAGACCCTTGGCATAAAGTGGGAGGATCATCACACAAATGCCAATGTCCTCACCAATGCCACCACCACCAGTATGGAAGTGTTGATTATTCAACATCAGCTGGGGCGGACAGGGCACGGTGTGCACATGCCTGATGTATGTTTACCAAAACAACTGTTATACTCCCAACTCAGCCAAGGACAAAGGACATGCACGGGCCAGAGAAAACACTTCAAGGACAGCCTCAAGGTGAACATTAAGAAGTATGGTTTTGATACTACAAATTGGGAAAAACTAGCCTGAGACAGGGTTACATGGTAATGCCTTGTGAGAGAAGGTATATCTTACTTTGGAGGAAAACCGTCTTGCCTTGGAGGCAGAAAAATGACAGAAATGGAAGGAAAGGAAACAAGACCAAGAAATCTGTGATCTTTTACCACCACTTGCGGCGACTGCCAGAGAGTCTGTGGCTCTATGATCAGCCTTCTTAGCCATCAATGAACTCATTTACTACCCTTTAATTTGACCCATGGGAGCAATCATCCTCAACCGTGAGGGATTGCCACTGACAATGATAGCTGGAGAGCCTCACAGGCAAGTTCTGTAGCTAGGGGGCACTAGAGGGCTTCTCCCTGGGCCACCCCAGGGCTTGGGAAACCCATTAATTGACAACCTGCATTCTCCTTTGCCTGGGAAGGGGGCAGGCTGTCAACTGGCAGGTGTCAGCAGCTGTAAAGCAGCAGTTGCCACAGACAGCTTGCGGAGGGTTCCAGCCCCAAAAGAGTACATTTCCACCTCCCCAAATCAGCTGATTTGCGGAGTGGGAAGGGGCATTCTCCCATGGTGGAAACCCTCATGATTCATGCCACAGGAGAAGAGCCTCTGCTTTTTCCATGCGAGGGAGAGGGAATTCTGCTGTCACAGCACAGCAGTCTGCCTTGCCTTGCACTTCTCTGGGTCAGCCCAGAGCAGTGGGAGGGGGGCAGATACATTCTGCTGTGGCAGGAACCCCTTCTGGGATGGTTCCTGCTGCAGAAAAATGTCCAACGTCACCAATCAGTTGATTCACAGCAAAGGGGGTCCATTCTGCTGATGGGGAAATCCGTTCCCAGACAGTTGTCCCCACAGAAGAGGCTTGTGGGATATTGGGTGCTCACCAACATCCAAGAGAAGTGTGCAGGCATTCAAGTTAGATTGGGAGGAGCAAAATCTTCCTCATAAGTATTCAATCTAACTTCTTGCAGAAGAGCCTGTTCTCTTCCATAAGAAATCTCTTGAACATCTGTTTTTCACCCAACATAAATGGAATGTCTGTATGTGGCTTTAAGCAAGGTAAGAATTAACAATAAACCACCATAAACAGCTACACTTAAGTACCTACCGGTTCCAATTCCACTGACTACAGCACCATCAATAAGTCCAGTTGTGACAGCATTATTTGTAGGTGCATTATGGGGGGCCAAACTTGGCAAGAATAAGCAGCTGTTAAAATAAATAAATAAAAATCAGTATATGTTAACGTTTATGAGAGCAAAATACAATCAAAACCGTTTTCCAGGAAATGTTCAACTTCGAAGAAAGTGCTGTAAGCATACCTTTAATTCCATTTAAATTAACTTGCTAACACAAAGAACAGAAAATCTGTTAACCAATAATATTTTTTCCGAGAAAGAGTCATCCAAGACTTGGCCATAAGGCCTGAAGTCTTGGAATGGCCTTCTGGAGATTGTTAGAGAAAGCCATAATTTCCTGTAGGTTTTATGGTCTGCTGTAATTTGTCCTGAAGCCTGTGTTAGCTAAAGCTTTAGAGGAATTCCTACACTTAAATCTTCTAATTTAAATATAACCATCTTAACAGAACTGTTTTATTTCACAATATAATTATCTATGTGGACACGAAAATAATCATTCAATTGGTATTCCAACAACTTATCTTGCATATAAAATGGGACAAGTTAGTCTCAAAAGGAAATAAATAATTAGGTAATATTTTTATAAGGTTTATCTTGATAGTTGGGATGCATCACACAGAACTGTTAGTGGATAAAAGGAGAGGTTAAGTAGCCAAAAGAATTGCTCTTTCCTCCCCAAAATTAATTTGGTACCACCACCTAGAACACCTTTGTGCCAACGTATACTTTATGCTTGACATTCACTTTCCTGCAGAAGTGCTTTATTTAAGAAAAACAGGGAGGAAAACCAGGTGACAGCTTTACAGAATTCATCTTTCCACTGTGATGTGTCCTCTGTCTATCATGACACATGATGAAATGTGTTGAGTGTTATTTGCTGTATTTTCTTCTTTGGAGTACTGAGGCTGGGCTAACTAAAGGGAAGAAATATTTACTATTAAGACAGAAAATTTCCACCCTGTGAAAAATGACTCTTAAGTCCAAATGACTATGATCGTCTTAAGTAAAGAGAATTAGTATTCATATCTTTCAAGAGCAGAGCCTTATGAAACTCTTTTTGTTGGTGCAACTGCTACCAGGAATTCTAGGTTTTTATAGACAAAAATTTCAAGGAATCAAATGTCTTTGATTCAAAGGGACTACTTCTATATAAAGGCAGCTCTTGGATACAGTTTAGTTTGGTCTGCTGTGCAACCTTGATATCATCAGTTCACTGGGGAAAGACATGAACAAGACTGTATTTGACACTGCTTATCTCAAAGTGTAGAGATATGACACTAGGTATGTGCGGTGTTTATTTTGGCCCTAGTAGGAGAATTCTGTCAGAACTCTTGCATGTATTGCAACAATAAAAGTGAGACCAGAAAACACTCTTATTTTAGATTAGTGTCTCATTTTACCTGGGGCTTGAACTCATTAGCGAAACTCTCCAGTACAGATTATCTAGGTCATGTACAAAAACAAATTCTGGCACAAGAAATGCAGCTTCCTGGTAAGCTAAAACACAGACTTCTGCAACAGTTCCATTAGATGTAAGTAGATTGACCATTCCAAATTCTTGCTGGATGAAAATAACTAATAAATGAGGATGTTAAATTTGAGTCACTCTAAAGACAGGAAAGTGTAGACAAGCTGGATCTGGACATCAAAATTTGCCTGTCTGATCAAAGTAATCTCAATCCTGGGTAAAATTAACTTCAGTAAGGGTTTTGACATGATATCAACAGGTGTAGCTGGGGGTCCCTCTCTGGATATCAGTTGAAATAATTTCTTGGTTCAGAGGCTGTTTCAGGCGGTCTACAACAGTGATGGTGGTGAGTCTATAAAATCATCCACTTCAGCCACTCATACTCACAACCACAAGCTGAACCAAACCCCTCTTTCAACATGACACAGGTAGAAAGCTGAGGAGATAAAGGCATTGCTAATGCCTTGTCACTGCAATAGCAAACAAGCCAGTAGATTAAAATATGCTCCTAGAAAGATCTCTCTCTCATTACAATGGAAGGCAAAAAACGTCTGCAGTTCTTGCTACCTTGATCCAGGGAAAACATTCTTTCCTGACCCCAAAATTGGTGAGCAGTTTGACCATAAGCAAGACTCTCTAGGCAGGTACCCAAGAGGCTTCTAAGTTCCTCACAGAGCACAAGAGTACCACAAGATACAGCCCTACCTCCAGCTCTGGCCAGCATCCAATGTTCCAGAGGAAGATGAAACAAAACAAAGAAGAAAGCAATAAATGTTAATGAAAGAAAAACTATCGCTCTCTTTCCTGGTCTCCACAGACAACAAGCAAAAGTCCTGAAGCGAGGGGGTTACTAGGCAAGTCTTGCATGGACATAGCATGAAGGTAAGTCTAACACGGGGATTACAAATATCTGATGCCACATATCACAGAACATCTTCCATTTGGTAAAGAATTTGTATCTATTGACATGTACACACAAAATAACTGGTGGCCCTTTGCTAGTTTACATACACTGCGATTGAATTTTCTAATTAAATCAGGATGCAACTCCTCTTTTGGTGACGCTGGAAATCCTAAAGGACTAACCTGACTATACATTTAAAAATCATTAATGCTGCATAGCTATGATCGCAACATTTTCTTTTCCTCATAAAAGATTTACTTTCCATCTGCTCAGGTGAAGCCCCTGGGAATGATGACCTAATGAGCTTCCTGGGGCAGGGGGGGAAAAAAAAAAAAAAAAATCAAATTAAAAAAAAAAAAAAAATGTTATTCACTGCGATGAGATCGTAGATGAATAAAAATTCAGAACAAAATGCAAATAAATTACTTCATGATTTTCTAAATCATTTTGTGGTATATGATGGAGGGGGGGGGGGGGGCAATTATTTTGGGCGGAGGGCCGCTAACTGAGTTTTGACAAACCATCGAGGGCTGAATAACAAGCAGCCAGAGGCAGATAAATATTAATTTTCTAAATGTTTTAGGGGCCCCACGGGCTGCATAGAATGGCATGGTAGGCTGCATCCGGCCCGCAGGCCACATTTTGCCCATCCCTGTGATAGAGAGATCACAGTGACAATGAAAAGTAATATCTACTTTCCAAATTTTATCTTGATTGACCTGTTCAGCCTCTTGAAAGTCCAATGAAATTTTTAATATTATTTGAAGAACAAGGAGGAAAACTTTGGGTGCCACTTTTCCCGAGACTACCTCTAAAAGTTATGAGATTGCACCTCTGGTAATTTCTATATGCTTGCTTGGAGAATGAAGTGGGGAATGTAGAGGAACATGTGGAACAGTCAAATTCCATATATCTATGTTATGCGCTCATATATGCCATTTAAGATAAACTCCAAGCAGTTGATTGAAAAGAAAAAATTAATCTTGACCCTAAGCCTACTTCAGGATGGAATTAGATTTGTTTGCCATCATTCTTATGTACTGTTAAGAGTCGATAGAAGGGATAGAAGCTGTTGTTCACTCTGAGCTTCTTTGTCTTTCCAGAACCGGGTAGGACTCTGTAGTAAGAGGACACTTTTAATACCTCTTTTGGATGAAGGTTTGGTTTGGTTCGCAAGGTTCGGTCCTTGGACCTGTACTCTTCAATATCTTCATTAGTGACTTGGATATGGGTGTGAAGTATACTCTGTCCAAGTTTGCGGACGATACTCAATTGCAGGGTGAAGTGCACACTCCGGAGGGTAGGGAACAATTGCAGGCAGACCCGGACAGGTTAGAAAAGCAGGCAGTACAACAAGGACAAATCCAGAGTGCTGCACCTAGGGTGCAAAAATATCCAGCACACTTACTGGCTAGGCAGTGACCCTCTCAGCAGCACAGAAGCGGAAAGGGATCTCAGAGTCATAGTGGACTCCAAGATGAGCATGAGTCGTCAGTGTAACGAAATCATCGGCAAAGCTAACCACACTTCATCATGCATCAGCAGGTACATAACAGATAGAACCAAAGAGGTGATACTTCCCCTCTATGTGGCATTGGTCAGACCGCAGTTGGAGTAGTGCATCCAGTTTTAGCTGCCGTACTTTAAGAAGGATGTGGATAACCTCGAGAGGGTCCAGAGGAGGGCCACTCGTATGGTTAGGGCCGTACAGGACAAGTCCTTTAAGGAGAGACTGAGGGACCTGGACCTCTTCAGCCTCCACAAGAGAAGGCTGAGAGGTGATCTTGTGGCCACCTACAAATTCATTAGGGGGGACGAAGCAAGGGATCGGAGATGTTCACCAGGGTGCCTCTTGGGAGATGTTCACCAGGGTGCTTCTTGCCTCAAGGAACAATGGTCACAAACTGACAGAGCAGATTTAGGCTAGATATCAAGAAAAACTTCTTCATGTTAAGGGTGGTGAAAATTTGAGATGGGCTTCCAAGGAAGGTAGTACTCTTCCCTACCTTGGGGGTCTTTAAGAGAAGGCTGGATAGGCACCTGGCTGGGGTCATCTGAACCCAGC